TTTCAATTTTCAATATGCTCGCAAGCCAGTGTAACGATTTGAGAGTGCTGCGCCAAGTATGCGAATGGTCGCAGGATCCGAATCCCATCCGTTTTCTAATTATTTTCCTGTTTTCTGTATTTTTCTATCTTTTCTGCGTTAACGTATTATTTTTCCAAGTTAACGCAAATATTTACATGATTTATTTACCAACATTTTTAATAACAACAATTAATTTTCTACAACAAATTAAAAATTAAATTTTATCTAATTTTTAATAGGGTTAGGGGTTAGGGTTAGGTTAGGGCTTAGCGCGTTCGGGTTAGGGTTAGGGTTTAGGGTTAGGGTATAGGCGGTTAGGGTTAGGCGGTTAGCGGTTAGGGTTAGGGTTATCGATATATGATCGTATTAAATCGTATATATAATATCGTACAAAAGCAGACGGTTAGTTTATTATTCGCCGACTAAGATGCGCGCTGGCCATCCTAAACCGTGACTTTAAGAGAGAAAAATGCCGGCGAACGGTACGTTGACAGGAGAACAGCAGACTAATTATACTACGGTACACTACACGTAACCAGGGGGGCATAAATACATAAATTAGGATCAGGAACATTGGCTGGCGTTCCTCCATAATAATATACTGCTGCTTGATAGTTTTCATGGCAAATAAAAGTGCTTGGAAATTAAGTTGTAAGAAGCATAATTGGTTTTAAGAAGCAAAGCGGCTACGTTCAGCTAGTACATAAAATAAACAAGTAATAGTTTCTCCACAAGGTTTCTCCTATCTATGTCTCGCCATGACAGTTGCCGCTTACGCACATTTAAATTTAGAATTGACAGAGATGTAAATATAAACAATTCATAAGACCTATAGATGCTATACTGAACAATTTTACACACAATTATTTTATTGCAAAGAAAAGTTATTTGACATAATCATTCAATGCGTTTTATGCTCAGTATAATTATTTAATTATAATTATCGTCTACGTCGGGACCCTACACAGACGAATTTTCACCAAGCAAAACATGTCTGGTTGACTGGTTGAGTTCTCTTTGAAACTCAAGTGTTTACGTTGCTCAAAGGATAACGCTATGTCGGTGGGGAGCAACGACACATCACAGTGGCTGTCCGTCACCGAGGAGACGCTCTTTCTTCACGATGGGTTGATGCGAGTTACCGATCTGGTGGAGATTCCACCAGCCGTTTCAGCAGCACTTGGAAAACTCCAGGACGCTGCCTTAATAACATTCGATACCAAGAGCCCTAGCGATCTAGCCGACAGAATCAAGGCTCTATGCGGGCAGCAGAATAACGAGTACACGCGTCTGCTAGAGTACAGGGTCAGCGCGCTAAAGGGGCTATGGCGAGCGCAACAGCAATGTGTCGTTGACGATCAGAATTCGCGCGGCGCCACCAGTAACAACGAAGAAGCGGTGGCACTGCTGAAGAAACAGGGCCTGTTGCCTCAGGGCGATGGCAGCCAATTCTCATCGCGGCTCAGTCTGCTGCTCCTCTTCCCACTACTGCAGTCGCAGAGCAATCTTGACAGCGCCCTCTGTGGGACGACAGCAGAACTATTGCTCGCCTGCTTGCGCGAGTGTGCTCCGCTAAGCTTGATGAAGGAGCCAGGTTAATAAATTACAACTTGCAAACTTTGTCCTGTGTAGCGATAGTGATTCACCAGGTCCTGATCTTACTGTATAAAAGTTGTGGAGATTCTGCCTCACTCCAAATATTCAGATATCTCTACAAGCTACGAATTGATGGCTATATATTTATGTCCACAAACAATCCTCAATTAGTTGTTCATTGAATACAGCTCCACAAGCAGTTATTATCACATGTTTATGAGTGAGCAGTGATTTAATAGCAAGCATGTGTAATGAGAGATCAATATTTTCTAGGTGGTTGCTTTATTCAGGGTTTGGCTTCAGCATGCAAGCAGCGCTCATAGGGTCTATGTCCTCCAGGGTACTGCCGGAACGTACCCTGGGTATGGTTCGGTATACCAGAACGCACCCTGGTAACTATCAGATATGGTTAGGGTTAGGGAGTAGGCGTAGGCGACTCGCTAGACTCGTTAGTGGAGTAGGCGAGGTACTGTCTGGCATATTAGATAGTACCAGGGTACGTTCCGGTATACCGGACCATACCCAGGGTACGTTCCGGCAGTACTTGGGGGCACATAGACCCTCTCAGCGCAAGCAGCCATTTCAAATAATAGTACATAAAGCTTTGAATTAATGTTACCATTGTATTGAGAATGATAATTTCTCTGATATGCTTACTGATAGGCAGAAGTAACACAGTGCCTCACCATCACTCATAGCAATTGCTCTTTATGTACTACTGTTTCTCTGGGCAGAAGTCATCCATAAAGATGTTGTTTCTACTCAATTCGTACAACTTCACTGAAAAGGAATATAAAACGTGCGTGTAACAATGGCACGATGTTGTTGGGTGTTATTTCTTCAGCTGATTGCTTGAGTGGACTGGAGAACTTGCTGTGTTCGTGGCTGGGAGAGAACGGGCAGCAGTGTCGTGCTAGGAACGATGCTGAGCGGGAGTGCTTGGTCTCCGCCGTCGTGGCTCTCGCAAGCGGAAGGTAGGATGCTAGATTGCTCTGAGATGATTCCCTGATGTTGGGAAGCCATCCCTAATATATGTATATAGGCACTACATCAATAAAACATCAGATGCTTTAGGAAACTAGCATCTACCTCTTGGCTGCCTTACTAATATGGGATCAGGACCACGTAAGATTTAAAGGCATAATATTAATAAGCCCAATGCTTATGCAATGTTGACGAATGCTAGAGTAACTGGCACCTTGTGTAGTTAATAATTACATTACCTTATAGCCAAACGCGTATCAGTTTGTCCAATATCACTGCTGGTTACATTACAAACAAGACTTGAAATCGGTTGTGGATATGTATCAACGTATCATTTACGTGCCGTAAATGTCATCCAGGAGTCAAGCGATGACGTAAACATTTGTGCGGCCTGTATGTTTTCGACGACAGATGAAATGGAGGTGTCAGCGGTGTAACAACGGCCACGGACTAAACATGGAAATAGCGTAAAACACACGTACTAATCACGGACGCACGTGGACAGCCCTGACAAAAAGTTCCTTATCACGAGCGTCCATGTTTACGAAATTACTGATGATAGCATTGCGTACGGCCGAGCATGCGTGCGAAAATGTCCGGTGCACTATAAATCTGTATCACACCCGCTTCGCGGCAGCTTTTTGAAAGTGTGGCCAACTTATTTTTGGACTGCGGATTTTAATTAGACATTTCTTAGTAATCAGCACTGATATTGGACAAACTAATACGCGTTTGGCTATAAGGTAATGTACTTATTAACTACACAAGAGGCCAGTTGCTCTAGCATTCATCAACATTGCATAATTAATGGACCTATTATTCCTTTAATCAGCAGTGCTGAATATACACTTTTCAATTATATTACTGTCTAGAATGCAAGTTATATGTATCTGTGCGTGCGTGCGTGGGTACGTGCGTGCATGTGTGGGTGCATGCCTGTGTGTGCGTGCGTGTGCGTATCCTTGTGCATGTGCGTGTGTCTATACGTTCGTACCTGTTTGAGATGATAGGATATCTGATTACCTTACAGTACTGTTATTGAGTACATGTATCTGATCTACGCAATTCCTGCATACTGTCAGGGGCACTGTGAAGACGATTCTGCACACTGTGCATCTACTGCAGAACATGGAATGCCCCCTGCAGGCGGTTCCAGTCGGTGACATTCTTAGGAAACTTTTGGCACTAGAGGGTGGTCCAGGTGTCGCATGTGCTGTACTTGGAAGCAAGCACATTCTCACCTGGGGCGTGGAGGACCTCCTGGGCAGAGATACGTCTGCAGGTACCTTACTCTTCGCTGATTATTCATTACCAGGAGCTGTGGTGTGAGAAATTGTTAGCGCTAGAAATATGATCATGGGATCATGGTTGCATACGTCTTATTCAGTTCCAGGTGGTGAGATACGGAGGAGCATTACGTGTGATGATCGCTTCCTATTTGTGACGAATGGCGCTGGTAAAGGCCTAGCCAAGATAGGCATGGGACTGCAGGGTACACTGAGGTGCATAGCTAAATAACCAGTGTCACCGACTGAACTCTTAAGAATATGCAAACAAACCTAGTGTGAAGGATGATACCTTCAGTGTTCGTAGATGTCAGTGTATTCCAAGCTTACAGTATGGTTCTTATAGCTGTTGTTAATCATTATCGATATAATTCCACATTTTAATATTTATATATTTCACTATACGTTGGATGTAAGCAGAGTAATCTGCCGCTTAGCAGCCCTAATTTACAGCTTGAGTCGTTGATGCCCATTTCAGGGGCTTAGTATATTCGCGCAACACAGAAATCGGTCCAGGCTACATAGCCTGGGCCAGTGGAACGTTGCTGTACCGACCGTGTCGGTTCGACCAGTACAACCAGATGGAGACGGACGACTTTGCTCAGATCATTAGTCCGATCACGATGGAGGTAATTGAAGCCTTTGGCATACGTTTACGCCGTAGCCTTTCCTTGTAATGACCCAACTTAGGGTTGCGTGGATAATTCAGTGAATGATTCTGTCGGATATTTCAGTTGTATATTTTAAATTTGGATGGGCAGTTGAGACCCTTAGAGACCTCCAACCTAAAGTGGAGTAAGTTTTGTACTATCAACCTCTTGTTTTGTTGGATGTAGTATCAACATTAAAAGCTATGGTGTGTTAGCTATGCAGTATGAAGAAAAACTTTCTTCTCGTAACAGGATTGCTATGAGATAGCACAATTTGTGATGCATTGCAATGCAGCGGCTACCGCATATCTAATAAAAAACCAAGGTATAAGCTTACTGAATCGTTGCTGATAGTTGTCTCATTATACCACTTAATTTTGGTTTCTAGCCAATAGGTATAGTGAAGAAGGTTGATTGGAGCATGGACATTATGCCTTTCGTAAACACGGTCCAGTTCTGCAGCGATGGAATCTACTTCTACTGGTTATGGATTGCCGCTGTAGTGTCCGATCGCAATGCCTCTCCGGCAGCTGTTCACTTAGATGTATTTAAGCTGGAGGTGGGTCATTCTTGCACCGCCCATTATCCAAATTCTCACTTTTTTCTTGGATACGTTTCACAGTCAAGTATGCGTCGTTTGTTTGTGCATGCGTAGGTGCATTTAAGCGCGCACATTCACATGTGCATTTTGATATGCTTGCGTGCATTCGTGTGTGTAGTTTCACGCGCGTGTGTTCTCGTGCGTACATGTGTTTGTGCGTCTGTGTGATGGTGTTAGGTTGTGCCTGCACACATGGGTAAGTTGGGTGCACTCAGTTTCTCACCATTTCCTATGCTGCTTTAAACTCGCAGGCTTCAACAGGAGTCCTGCAGCAGGTGAAACCGACAGTGACTCTACAGAAGAAGGACGAAATCTCAGGAAAGACGACGAACGAGAGCCTGCTCGCACGCTTCCGACCTTACCGCTCCTATGCAGCTGTCGCAGCCTCCCTCACAGGCCTCGGAAGCACCGTCTCTGCTGCCAGCGCCACCTCTAGGGAGGATAGTGAGTGTTTATATTGTTTTTATTTGTAGCAGTTTCTGCATCATGCGCGAGAATGAGTGAGGTGTTGTTGTGGTCACTAGTCCGAATGACAAGTGATATTGAGATTTCAATTTGAGTATTTTAGAATAAAAGTTGTGTTAGTTTTTAAGTTAATCGAAAGTCGGAGCTGCTTAATCAGCTACTACTCTAGCAATTATCATCGGCTACTATTACCACCACTATCCGAGCGATCGCGGATGCACGCGCGTATGTCTCACGATGTGCTCGTGGTTTGCAGGCAGTACAAGCTGTGGCATCGCCATGAAGACACTCATGAAGGCACCGATCTTCACCGACGGGAGCCTGGTCGTCGTACTGACCCCGGTGCCGGGAACCGCCAACCAGAGCGCCACTCGCTCGCTGTTCGGCAGTGGCAGCGGTCTCGCTGGCCTCAGATGTACGTGTCTCGCGAACCTTACACATACATAATATTTTGAAATAATCGAATTTACTCTCAACTGTTATTTGCATCTTTAGGGACAAAAACAACATTGTAGGGCCTACGTAGTGCCACACACATTAATTCTGTTTATCAATTAATTAATTGTTGACAGACTTGTTTCCAAGTTCATCACATGGGTGCAGCTATATTTCGGTTATCACAGGGTCAAATGCTGTAAATTTATGGTACAATATACTGAATATGTCATTTGCAGAAAGAAGCATACAGACATGCTATTATATAGAACTTATATAGACCCAGTTACACGACAAACACCAATAATATATTACTATATAGGTTAAAGGAGAAAATGTTTAATATATTTTGCATTTATGTGCTAATTGCTATGGAAGGACGCCAGCACGCTATATGGAAGGAAACCGGCAGGCTATGAAAGGAAGCAGGGCTCGAATTAACCGACGGCACCGACGGCAATTGCCGTCTGTGCCCCTATCAATCGCTGTACTGCCCCTGAAAATCCAACCCGACCGACGGCCGTGACCTGCCTCGCCCTTTTCTGTAATTGCCGTCGGTGCCTCTGGCTAGACTGGTTCGCGGCCGCACTGTTTGTCGCAGAGCGTGTACATTGTCTAGCAGAGCGTGAGGCCAGATACCAGTCTACCCTTCGGCAAAAACAATAACCGTAAACGTGGCTTGCTGCCAACCGCTGCCAGTAGACGATTGATAAATCCTGTATAGAACACGAATATTTAAATGCTGCACATCGACTGGGCCCGCACGCGATTCAAAGCGCGGGAAACAACGCTCGCGCAAGAATGGCCAGCTGTGATCCGTATGGTGTGTAGCTTGCTAAGTGCAATAAATTTAGAGAAATTTTAGTAGAATTCATACGATGACACAAAGTTTTTCATAACAATGGTCTGGGTCTGGGCTAGTGAAAGTTAGGTCAGGGCTAGTAGTTTTCCTCAGTTACTAGCCCGATGGTCTAGTGAAATAAAAAGTAAACGTTGAACCCTGTTACTGTACTTCCATTAGCAGAGGTTGATATATTAATTTGTTATGAGTTTTCCTTTATTTTACAAAGGTGCCCCTTGGTGCCCTTCTCAAATTGTGAGAGTTGCCTTGATGCCTTTTAAAATTGCCTCGGTGCCCATCCATTTTGGAGAAAATTCAAGGCAATTTCTCACATGCCCCAAAAAAATTGCCTTGCCCCTCTCGTCACTTAATTCGAGGCCTGAAAGGAAGCATAAACATCTGTTGTTATTTGTCCTGAGTTACTCTATCAATTCCTCCCTCCCTCCCTCCCCACTTACTTAGTTGCAAATGTATCTCAGTATCTGGCAGCGTCGACCCCCTTGTATCGTAGGTCCATGCCACACTTGCTGACCCTGTTGCGAACAATTAAGGGCTATAGTAGGAACTAGAGCTAGTTTGTTAATTAATAATTGGCCCAAGCATATGACCTCCAATTTCACACTGGTGATGGGTTTCCTTCCCATCACACTATACACCGAATATTGAGAGCATAGGTCGAGCCGTTCAGATTTGTGCCGCAATTCCGTATTTCCTCCTATACCGAGCTAAAAATGTTCCAAAGACGCCACGTTAATGTGTTGTTATGCTGCAATTTACCATTTATAGGCATTTACCTGTGACGTTCTGGATTCTGTAGATTGGAAAGGTACCCTGAAGTGGAGAGAGTTGCTGCTCGAATACCCAGCGAAGCACACCTTAAAAACAAACATTCATGGTAGCCCTCTTCAGTCTACTGCACTTCACCTGAACAAAAAAGGGTTAGAATCTCTTGGAAACCTATTCGATCAACTGGTTAGGGCATTATCATCAAAAGCAACAGGTGATTTTGACTGTTAGAAGTACTATGTTTGTCATAGAATGAGTTAGGTATTATGTTAAGTAAGAATGCATACCCGTGAAGCTGCTGATTACGCTCCATATGATATGGAAGATCGCCGATATAAACGTGATTGCATATGAAGGACTGATGTACGACACCAGCATTGGCACCAGCATCAGAGTGTACAGCAAATAAAACGTGTAGTTCACAAGTGGTCCAAAGTTTAGGTATGGCAGCAGCAGCATCGATGCTGCCACACACACTGAAATAACGAAAATGTACTCGTTTAGTTATGAATATAAATACACATTTTATCAAGAGCCCATTAACCCCAGAGCGTACAACACTGAAATAGGAAAACCATGGTGTCGTTTCAGCAAAATTAATAACGTTTACCTACCTTATTTTGATACTTCTCTACCGGAATATTATGCAGGAGTCATAGCTAGCCAATATAAGATCAACCGCTTGTCTCTACGATGTTCCTATGCCGAGATATAAAGCGATAAAAATCGAGTACTTCTAGGTAATCCTAGCGCCATATCACCCACTAACACGCCTCTCGCACGTTTAGTGACTGCTAATGTTGCTTCGACAAAGCTCGTATGTTTCCGTCGTTCATTGATAAATGAGATGAATCATATGGATGAATGAACAAAGTTCAAGGGACTTTGGGTAGACACCTACTGTGCCATTTTCTGTTGTCGTTGTTGATCAGAATGTAGCACTGCACTATTACACGCGCCGGATAGGCAGTTAGTTGGCTGACTGTCATTATAATGTTGTACACATTCTCCCCAAGTGGAATCCATGTTCACGCACTTGTCACCAACGATGTATGTTGCAACATTGTCCAGCCATTCAGTAAGAAAGATAGCATATCGCGTAGAACTCCCCATCGTGTTTTTTTCGTACAGACGGCAAAATCTATCGCACAAGTCATCTACTAAGTTTTTGCCGTTGATAATTTCATGAAGTCTATACATTTCTTTCTAGCTGAGCTCCATTCAATTCGTGCACTTTTTCAACCGAGTCCCAGATAGCCGAATAAAACTCGTCACTGTGATCCTGCTTCTCTTGTCTTAAACGCGTTGTAATATAATTTACTTGCTCCTGCGATAGTGTTGCTGATTTAACATTCGTTTTCCTTCTACTATCTCTTCTCACATTTCCAGTCGCAGCCATGACTCAAACTACACCGTTTACTACAGCTAGCACACCTTACACATCGTCGAGAGCTTGTGACCAGTAGTAGTTCATGTTTATTATTATTATTATTAAATCTTTATTGCATGTAATTCAAAAATAAATACATGTACCGAAGACTGTATATATGTACTGAAAAATCTGATAGATGCAATAGTGTTTAGCAGTTAAAATAATAAAATTCCTGAGTGATATGAAACAGCGCTATACAACGTGAAGGCAAAAATATAAACAAAAACGACAGTACATTCTGTACAAGTGTGTTCTTGATGTCGTCGTATGGATGCAAATTACACATCATCACGAGCGCATCGCTAATAGTTTACGTGATTTGGATGTGATCGTAAAAAATCATTTCGATCAATTTTTTCTCGATGTTTAATGTCAAACACATCTATAGTTTGCCTAATAGCTGATAGTTTACGTGCTTTTGATATGATCGTAAAAAATCATTTTGATCGATTTTTTCGCGATGTCTTTAATGTCGGACACGTCGATAGTTTGCCTCGTCGATAAATTTTCCCCTCGTGGTTGCAGCGTTGGCGATAAACATGATGTACAGCGTGTCGGAGGGGCAGTTCATTAGTCGTACGGAGCTAGCCGATGCGCCCACCTGCTCACTCGCGCGAGGCACCACCACATCTAGTCTAGGTGAGTGTTCTACACTACAGCTCAGGATGTCACACTGTATGGTCATTGCACTCGTCCAGAAATGCAAAAAGGGCTCATTCGGGTACGGTGCCTATTGGCCAGCCGGAGTTGTGCTATTCGGTTATCGCACCACTGAGAAAATACGAAAACTATTGCTTCAGTTTGTGTAGATGCCCTTTCAGTCGTAATATTGCCGTACTCTAGAGTAACCACTTTTGATCAGAAATGCAGAAAAATATCATTTTTGCGTAGTATAAATCACATCGCCCGAATCGTCGCGCCGTACACTAGTCGCACTCTTGACCGGGAAAAAAAAAGAGAAAACGTAAAATTTGTCGACGCTTCAGTTTTGCGCATGCACTAACACTTCTCGTTGTTGCCAGGTGTCTGCTTCGACATGCACAACAACCAGATCTGGTGCTGCTCGGGCGACTGGGTCGACCAGTTCTTTAACCCGAGCCATCAGGCGGCGCACCACATCTGCAAGCAGCTAGGACTGCCCGTCGGTCAGTACCGGCGTCCGGACGACACCTGCAGTAAGTCATTGACCTGTACCCGCGAGAGAAAGTGCCCCAATCTGTGGCGAATCGGTACTCTTGTAAACAAAAACTGATTTTAGTGGAAAAAACATGTTGTCTTTTTGACTGCAGGCGATCAGCTGGCCATATTTAACTGGTGAATGGTTCATTCAAGGGTGAATGATATTATTTTGTTGGGGGTGATTGAAACTTGATTTTCGTGATAAAGACTCGAGGGAGAATGACACTGAAATAGTTTAAGAAGCTCTCCCCTACATGGTATGGCTCTCCCCTACATGGTATGGCTCTCCCCTACATGGTATGGCTCTCCCCTACATGGTATGGCTCTCCCCTACATGGTATGGCCATCCCCTACATGGTATGGCTCTCCCCTACATGGTATGGCTCTCCCCTACATGGTATGGCTCTCCCCTACATGGTAGAGATTGACCTTCAGTGCATTACCTGAACTCTACAGGTACGCAATTTAGCAGCCTTGAACTCTCTAGCACCTATGTGTATTCTAGTACCTAACTACCTAGTTGAGAACAATCTAATTACTAATGCTTTATTTTGACACGCCTTGCAGGTTAGGCCCTTGTGCGGCTTTGTGAGATGGCTGTACCATATACGCTTGCATAAGTCAAAATGAACGATATTGAATGGAAGAAACCAGTAATACTTTACAGCGTGTTTAATACATAGCTTTTCTGGAAAGAAATTTCATTCAATTCAAATTCAAATCTATTGTTAACCTTTTTACAACTCTTAATTCCCGTACTCCCACTCATGAGTCTTCCAATCTATTCGCTAGATACTTAACGGTATTTTTATGTGCAATGCCACCCATTACATCTGATATCCAGTTTTGGATTAATCCCTGAGTTTGTGTTATTCCAAAAAAATAGGAAGTCTGTTTTTCCAAGATGGCAAGGATAAAATATTATCATTGAGCCAAAAATTATTAAATGGAATGCAATTCTCCATAACTTAATGTGCTTCCATGTATAGCCTGTACCTCTTCCTGAAACTGACTAAGGCCGAATCGTCAGTCATATATAAAAGCTTGACCGTGAACTGCCTTTGCCATGTCATTAACATAAATCAGAAATAACAGGACGCTCGAGCCAAATCGAGCCTTGTGGTAACTCAACATGCAATAGGGTCCCTTATTAGAGAAGGTTATACCCTACATCAGTTATTGTAGCTTCTACAGAGAGATAAGCACCCGAACCATTTTACAGTCCTAATTCCATCTGCATAATTTTAAGCTTGCTAGTAGAATGTTTATGTCAACATATATCAAAAGCTTTTGTAAGATCTAAAACTAAAAATCATACCCAGATAGATTTCCTTGTCCGAACTCAATTACGAATAATATCATTAGATAAATTAAACTTGTGTCAGTTGAGAAAATTTATTAAAGCCAGTATTGGAACTCGTACAGCAATGAATCTTCATATTTAAATATTTCTACGTTATAGGCTTCAGCTATTCGCTCCTTGAAAACTTTGCGAACATGACCACTTAAATTGACACAGCCTATATAGTTTCCCGGTTTCTGTTGCTATTTTCAATGTACGAAGCACCCTTCGAAGCTCATGGTCATCAGAGGATTTTTCCTTGGATGAATGACATGTTGATATCACATGTTAAGAGCTAAGTCAATATAACACGTTGATCCATCTTTTATAAGATTTGCGGGAATATATGCTAACCCAATAGCCTTACCAGTTACTGTTATTAATGTTTTCAGGCACCCTGTACCTCTTCTCTCCCACCGTGTAAAAGTAAATAAATTTTCTACTATCACCTTTGTCCCTAGATAATAATATAATTTAACGCAGTGTTAGAGGTAGGTAAGCCGTCGTTCTTTCAGCCCTTTTTGGCGTTTGGTTAGGGTTAGGGTTAGGGCTGGTTTAGGGTTAATGGTGGGTAGGGATAGGGTTAAGGGTCTACTCACCTAAACTCTCAATGTCGTGGAATTTATCCGCACATGCGCTTAATTTCAACTGCGCCATCCTAGCGACCTGCTATCTTTGTCTCGTTAACGTATGCAGAAAGAGCGAATGGACTCGCCGGGGTACCCGTAGCCATCGTAGACATTCCAAAATACGCTACCTACGCCGGTAGCCACTGCCTAATTTAGAAAGACTAATCTCATCATACAGTCCCTTCCTCTTGTGGTAGGAAAAGTCGTTCACCAAAGGTTATGAGCACACTGTGAAATACTTATTAAAATATTTGCACAATTGATTCAAAATGCTTCAAAATGTCAAAAGCAACTCATCGAATCCGCTGAGCGTCCATATTTCAAGCCGGTTACGGAGATGACCTGTACCATATATTTGGCTAAAGTCAATAAGATTGACTAATCGGCGTCAACTAAACTCAAATTCACAGAGGTATAGCCAAGACATGTGCGTATAGGTATTAAATAGCTATTACTGCAAAAGATCTCGCCGACCGCTCTAAATTCATACCTTACTACTAAGCTGTGAAATATTTGAGTTTTTGCACTCACGAATGCGGCAACAATTATCGTCATGACTATCCTGCACGAATTAGTTTATCGACGCAGAAGCATAATGTCAGTATGAATTAAATTTTTAATATTCAAGATTACCTATAGACCACATGTCTGAGCTATGACTCTCTGTGAATATTGAGTTTTTATATGTACGGCACGGATTAAGTCAATAATTTGCAAATAATGGTACCGTAATCTCCCGCTACGGCTTGAACGGCCGATCGCATGCTGAATGGAAGCCGCTGCTGTTCAAGAAATAGATATGATGTCGCAGATAGAGACCTATGTCATTTCCGGTAAATGTGGGGGTAGCCCATTTAAAAACTGCGACAGTGGGTTTTTTAAGTCTTCGTTGTTCATCTTCACGAGAAACAAGTTGATGTGACTCTAACAGAATTGTGCAAAAAAACTGCTTTTCAAGCGAGACATCTGGCCGTTTCCCCACTGTTTCCACCATATGCCTATGCCGTCTTCGTTCCTCCTGGACCTATTGCTGGTTAGCCAATACTTCCTCTGCCTCGTCTCGAGCTAACGGCAGCTCAAAGAATGATCGATTTTTTTGTCACTTGAAAGACTGGGATTGGCGGCATCCAAAACACCAATACATTCCTTGGGCAACTGAATGCGCGCGTGGCATGAGCGGGCGTTACTAATACGGTTTGTTTTCAATTGGCGGCTCGAAATCTGACATCGGTCAAAATAGTTCAAAACGTTCCCGGATGTTCCGCGCGCACATCTATACCAGACTCAAGTACGATGATTCCTTATTTTCATCCATAACTCTTCAAAGTCTGCCATAATTTTGTTAGGGTCATTTTGTGGTCTGCAACCTTTCCGTATAGGTAAAGTAGCCGCTGAGAGGGTCTATGTCCCCAGGGTACTGCCGGAACGTAATCCCTGGGTACGGTCCAGGTATACCGGAACGTACCCAGGTAGCTATGTAATATGCGGACAGTACCTCGCGCTACTCACTAAACGAGTCTAGGGAGTCGCCTACGCCTAACTCCCTATACTTCTTAACCCGGCCTACACTCTAAGACCCTAACCCTAGACCCGTGCCTAACTAAACCCTAATCCAGAAAACACCGCCACGGCCTAAACTCAACCCTAGATCCTAACCTAACCAATATCTAAATAGTGACCTATGGATACGTTCCGGCAGTACCTGCTTCGGTGACATAACCATGAGCGTAAGTGCCTTTGCTTCTTAATTTATTTTGATACTTTTGTTACTAAGCAATTCTAAAATACCCTGTATTGAAATTAACATTACTTACTCCTCTTATGAAAGCAGTAATTTTCTATCTGGTTTCCAGAATAAGCATCCCTATCTCACACATCAAACCATGGCTCAGTTCTTGTTTAGATACATAATGTAACCCAAACCCTAAAAGTAGTGAAGGGGTTACATTATTACCCCCTAGTCCTGCTCTGGTTTGGGTTCACATTTATGTATTTATTCTTTGTTTATATCTAACTGTAATAGGGCGACAAGTGTGATTTAGATCAGTGTTAGATTTGTAACGGCTGGTTTGATTGGCCAGCTTGTCCAATTTACAACGCTAGGCCTCAGCTGTCCAATCTAAGAAGTTACCCGGCTAGAGAGAATAGTAATCAATAAAATTGAAAATAGACTAATGTCAGCAGCTTAGTATGCCAAATTTATTCTATTACCCTTTGCTTATGATGAGCATGCTGGTATAGATAAATTGATGCTCGACTGCCGACTATCAGAGCTGCAAATTTTACAAAATAAGCAAGTAAGTGTACTAAGCCAGTTATTTTCTTCGTGGCTAGTGGTTTTGTAATCGCCACTCTTAAAACGATATTGCGTATCCACCAATCGAAATCTACCTCTTGTATAGAGTAAACCAAATCACAGATTGCCATAACAAATGTGTAGCGTGGGCAACCGGTCCATGTAGGGGGCGCCATCTATAGCTCCACCAGCAATCCAAAGCAGTCCACTGATCATAAGAATTCGTAGAGTGAATGGCACTACGGCACCTATAGAGGCTGATAACAGTAAGCGTCACGCGTTCTTTAAGTTGCACCTAACTTCGTCGTCTCTAGAAAGCCTTTTTTGGGCATACTTTTCGCGCGAAATTTCGGCACTAGAGTGCGCAATAATTACATATGCACAGCAAGGTGGATGCCCTTCGTGGACGTCGGAGTAAAGCATTAGAAGTGAAAGATTAATTTTGTTTGATTCGTGACACTTCCGTCAGTGGCGTAGCCACGTCATCGCGGTTGGCTGTTTTTTGTGTATAAAATGTGTTCAGCATAACTTGTAGAAAATTCGCAATCATAGAGCTGGGCAAAAGTTGTCGAGGGGTAGCATAGAGCATGAAATCTTTATTTATTTAAACAGTGATATAAAGTGGTAATGTTTTGTAGTGCAGTACAGTGTGAGTATTTTATAATTAATATCTGTTCGATGCTTATCAGGCCTGCAGCCTCATGGACGGCCTGCTACTGTATAGCAGCC